AGTTGTCATGACAGAATTACCTAGTTGTGGTATGAAACTCTAGATGGCGCAGTCTGATAGGTCTTTAACTCATTTGGTAGCAATCACGTCATTAACTACATAGCACAGCTGATTGGTTGCTGTTGCATCAGCGGCCAATGAGCTGCAGATCAACATTCAATTCTGCAACATTCTGCAGGGCGCTTTCAGAAACCCTCCACCTTCCCCAGCTCCACCTGTGTAGATCTGCTCCGGGGGTTAAATCATGTACGTTACATGTGCAGCAGCAGCAGCATGTCTTGCATGCTCACATCAATGTCTGTGAATGTATTGGCAGTAGAAAGCCTCGGTACTTGCTTTGCAGCAGCAGCAGCAGCAGTGTAGCAGATCTATTCCACCTAGACCAAATACATTAACACTGCCATATCCATTACCATGCCAATCTCTATTACTATACCAATCTCTCGTCATGTTGTCATGACAGAACTTAATATGCTGCATATAGTCTACACTGGACGCGACAAAGTGCAAAGTGATTTGCAAATCCAATTGTTCTTCGTGTCAGAAGTAGCGCAGAGGCTTTGGAGTACGTTAGAAAAGGAAGGCATCAGTTTACTGTCAGGGATTTTGTGTGTTGCATCGCGTCCTGTCTGGTGTAGGCAGAGTATTAGTTAAACTGAAACATTAAAAATATAAACGGCTTACCAAATTTAGTGTGAAGGCTGTGCCTGTTTTTCCATCGCTTTACCATCTCTGGTATTCTTGACTTTTACAAGCCACCCGACCATTTTGTTTTCAGTTGTTTTTTGCTCAAAAGCACTTGAGTGAAACAGCTCTAAATTTGAGATTTAATAGCAAAGCTTCAGTGATTCACTAGAGGGGGAATTTGACTAATTTCCCAGCTAATTGTTGGCTATGGTTACGGCAGATTTGGCGCAACTGAAAACAATTAAAAACAAAATGGATGGGTGGCTTGTAAAATTCAAAAATACCAGAGATAACAAAGGCCGTCACACTTAATTTGGTAAGCTGTATATATGTTTAATGTTTCTGTTTAACTAATACCCTTCTTACACAAGACACAAGCAACACGATGCAACACACAAAATCCCCGACAGTAAACTGATGCCTTGTTCTTTTTCTGACGTACACTATATGCAGCATATTAAGTAATATACTGTAGCAATGATGTTTGCGTTTGTTGGGTATGAAGGTAAATTAGTAGCAAAACTCGAGAGCACGTAGATTTGAATTTGAGAACTTGTACAATAAATATTCGTACGTGTACGCGAACATTTACACTCACAGCTCCGATGTGAAAACTTCTATTGTACGCGATGATGTCACGAAACCCGCCTCCTCGTGGATGTTCTGAAACGCTAACATGGCTTAATACATTAGACTGACATAAATTATATTATCAAACTTAGTAAACACCATACTAATAATGTATACTACAGAAAAACAGATGAGCACAGAATATGACGAAAGAAATCAAATTTGTGTTCAGTGCAAATAAACCAGCTGCCTGTGTTTTATTAATACATTTTTTTTATAACTGTTGGTCCATTAAGCCTCATTAAGCGTTTTCTTGGTTTTCTATGAGAGGAAAATGCTTAACGTACAATTAAACGAGTTGCGTTCATATTCTGCTCAATTGCTTTTCTGTGTGCTTTATTTTTGGTGTTTCCTGAGTTTGGTCTTTTAATACCACTGTCTTAATTTAACGTGTTGCGTTCATATTCTGTGCTCATCTGCTTTTCTGTAGTATGCATTATTAGTATGGTGTTTACTAAGTTTGATAATATCATTCATTTCTTTTAAATCAGTCTAATGCATTAAGCCATGTTAGCGTTTCAGAACATCCACGAGGAGGCGGGTTTCGTGACATCATCGTGTACAATAGAAGTCCCATTTCATTGGCTAGGCGCCCACCAATAAAACGGCTCCTTTGAACACCCCCGCTCCCGCCCCCCTTCCGCTCTCGCCGCCACTGAGTTGCAAGTGCACAAGTTAGTTTTGGACCTTGTATATCGCGAAAAGAGTAGCAAAAGTCAAGGCGCGAAATTTGAATTTGCAGTGACAGATTCGAGAAGTTGCAAGTGACTAATTGAGGTTGTATTGCGAATGTGAATGTAAGAATAAATGCAAATATATTTTACATGTTTGTGACTACTTGATTTTTATTTTACAGGTTTTCACATTCGAGCTGTGAGTGTAAATGTTCACATACAAGTACGAATATTTATTGTACAAGTTCTCAAATTCACATCTACGTGCTCTCGAGTATTGCTACTCTTTTACCTTCATAGTTGGGGGGGTAGGGGGAGCTTGTGTGAAATTAGATAAACGTAGGTGGGCACATGTCCCGAAAGGTTGAAAACCCCTGCAGTATATGGCTGAATTAAACTAGTATTTCTACTTGCCGTTGTGCAGCGTTTACTACAGAGAAGTTGATTGAGTGGATCTCTGAGCTGTGTGAGTGGAGGCGGGGCTAATTTGCATATTCATGGTTCCGCATATACTAAATGAAGCAAGGGTGTAGAGTTATATTCAACCAATTTTAAGGCATGGATATTTTTTTCCCCCTTCTCTCTCATCTACTTAATGAGCCATGCATTTCAAATTACTTCCCATAACATGGTGAGATGGAATATTACATTGTATTTCTCTGTGTTTTAATCCATATATTGTTTATTTCTTTATTTCTTTATTTTATTATAAGAATAGTCTTATGAGTAGGTTTATGATGTTAGTCATGGAGCACCATGGTGGCTCAGTGGAACTGTTGCCTCAGGAAAGAGGCCCCCAGTTCAAGTCCCACAATCCAAAAACATGCAGCATAGGTGAATTTGAGACACTTTATTGTCAGTAGGTGTGAATAAGACTGTGGATGTGTGTGTGTCCTGTGATGGACTGCCCTGGGTTTTCCCCCATATATGCCTGATATGCTGGAAAATGCTCCAGCATTCCCGGTGACCCTGCAGAGGATAAAGCAGTTTGGAGGATGCATGAATGAATGGATGGATGTTAAGCATCAAATAGCAAATCCTGCACCACAAAAACAATTGGGCCTCATTCATGAAACACGAGCAGAACAAATTTGGATGTAAATCGTTGGTAAAGCTGTTCTGACGTAAATTTTCAGAATCATGAAAATTTTCGTATTTTCAAAATGTTTCTTTTTTTTTTACACCAGCTCCCTACCACGTGAAAATGGTGCATAAAACATTCAAACGTTTTGTGTTCTTTTGGGCAAACTAATGACAGAATTTTGCTGCACTATGTACCATAATAATATTTCAATATTTTATTTATTTATTTATTTTTTGTCTTTATTTTTATTTATTTATTATTTTATTTTTTTTGTAGCTGGGAGTTGAAAACTGTTCAACTTTGGGTAAAACGCAGCGCTCGTCACTGTCACTTTTTATCCAGCCTGGGACAAATACTACACCGACCAACAATCCTACTTGTACAATGACTCAACAACAATTGATAAGTTAATTGCTGGTTACGGCATTTTTATATTCAGTCAAATTCTTCAAAATTAGATTCTAGTAACACATTAGTTCCTGGCATTCCATTTCATCATACCAACCAAAAAAGCTGGAAAAACGATGCGCTTCCAAAGTGCTCTCAAACGTCACCAGCTGGCCGTTATCAGAAGAGCGCCTGGCATTGTTTTTAGCTGGCTAAAAATGCTGTGACGGACACACATTAATCGAATATTTATTGAATATTTATTTATTTATTGTTAGGCAAATGGCCACTTATGTTTACGAAAGTTTCATGAATGAGGCCCAATATTCAAGTTTAAATGTAAGGGTATTGGGACACAATACAAGAGCACAAATACAGAGCAGTGTGTGAAAGCCTCTTTGTCAATTAGACAACAACTTCTAACTGATACAAAACAAATGCAAAAAAGAGGTAAGTGCAAGCCTTCTTTGGAGTGTATGGTTTTTATTTTCATGCTTGCTGTTGTGTTTGTATTGTGCCATTGTTATGCTGTTTGTCCCCAGGGACTACCTGGTCTACCCACCCTGGCTGCATTACACAGCAATCAAATCCTGACTGTGAAGGTTTGTTGGCTCTGCCAAACGGCCCAGGCAGACTCTATGGATTATACACACTGAGAAATATCAACAGAGCATTTGTCCCCTGTGCCTATGCAGTGGCAGACTTGGCCCAAACACAATTGTCTGATAAATCCATTCCAACCAATCAAAAAAATACTTTAATTCATTATGACCCGCTCTCCAAGTTCCAGGGTTGTCATTATTATGCAGTGTGGTGACAGGAATTTATGCATCCACAGCAGAGCAACTGTTTATTTCCCCTAATAAACCAGTGATACGTGACTAATTATAAAAAAAGATTAATATGTCTAGCCACCAAATATTCTGACCACTGTGTGCTTGTATTCTATGAATGGAATAACTCAAAAGAGACGTATTAAATGCTAAACTAAAGAAGCGAGATTCGGAGCTGATATCTTTGATTCACCACAAATCCACGCTTTCCCGATATTTAAATCTATAGTGACAGAATTATTTGTGTCCTCTTAATTAGATAGCTTGACTATGTAAACATCTCATTTAGAGTCCACGGACAGAGACAAATAAATCTGCATGATGGGTTTCAGTGTTTGCAATTCCTGGAGTCTGCCTTGGCTTCAAAGAAAACTGTGATGACAGTGCTTTCAGTGAGTAGAAGTTGACATGTTTCTTCGGATTAGCTCTGTCAGAGTAGGTGTCCTATCACCCATGAGGGGGTAATTACAACATTTGCTGCCAAAGGCAGTTGAGACTTCCATTGCTGGCACCATGGAAAATGTCAATTTTTACTAATGCATGAAGGCACTGGATTGGGTCCTCTGACTCAATTACTTTAATCTAATCAATTTTTGTATCTTTCTTTCCTTTCCCCTTCCTCTTTCCGGGACCTCATGCAACTCTCCTCTCTGACTTCTCTTAACTTTGATCTCCGACCTCTTTTGACCTCGCAAACCTGCTCAGATGGTCTTCCCTAAGATAAATCATGGCTTTCTTTCTGCTGATCAACAACTCATTAAACGTCGACTCATTAAGGTAGTGCTTGTCCTCATTCTGTTCTCTCTCACACTGCTTCGTCAGACTGGGCTTCTCATCTTTGGCCCATCATTTGCTCTCCATTCTTCTGCTTTTACCTCAGTCCTCAGCTAGACTAGTGACAAACTATTAAAATGAATTACATTAGTGTTTGCTAGTAAAAAAAAAAGTCTCAATTAAGATATTGTGACAAGATCATTCATTATTTAAGAGAATTATTTAATTTCTACTTTAGTTTAAATCATATTAATAATTATTTTTATGTAATTAAAAACACTAAATAATTTTGTTAAAGCTGCAGTCTGTAACTTTTTTGGGTTAAAAATTATCCAAAATAAATGTTTGAGCAAGTACTGCCAGTGTTCAAAACTATCTGCTTGCCTTAGCTCGATTAAAATGGTAAGCTTGTAATAATGTTTTTAATTCCAGCAGTACTGGTGGTAAATTCGAGCATGTCTTTGCGTCATTACGTCACATCTGTACACATAAAGAAGGTGTCTCGACTAGTAGGATGTTGGAGGTGGAGATTTATAGCCTTTTCTCACAGCACTTGATATAATTAAACTTATCAATTTGATGGCGGATCCAGAAAGGTTCAAACGACAATCACCAGTGACAACTGGAGAGTCACCCATTGTAAAATGCAAAAAACTTCGGAGTGGCTACAGAAAAAAAAAGAGACTGCAACGAAGTATCCATACGAAAACAAGGATAAATATCGGAAGGGCATTAAATGTAGTCACACAATGCTGATGTTGTCAGAGAATGTCTAATAGGAGAGAACTGGCACTCTCTGGTTACTTCCGGGTTCTGAACTGGCTGCAGTAACACGTCTCTGTCCATGCGGTGGCGCTCGCGGGCGAGTGCAGAATGAATGGGAGTCTATGGCGTTTCACCCCCAGAAATCCACTTTTCTCAGGATGTAATTTTTTGTCAAGTAATCTGAAAGTTGCATTCAAAAGGGGGGACTAAGATAATACACTCAGTTGAAAACTGCATTTTTAAGTTCACTTATCTGTTCTAAATATCCGTTCAAAAATGTGATGACGTCACATAATAGCAGAATGCTAGCGTGTTCCGGCCAACAACGGCCCAACCTGTAAGAAATCGAAAGGACATAAGTACTCATTTATTCGACTTTTGGTCTATAATCTATATTGAACTTGTGGAATCAACAATAAAATCTATGTTGATTCAACGACAAGCAGGAGAAAGAGATACATTTAGCCGTCTAGTCCCATAGACTCCCATTCATTCTGCACTCGCCCGCGATCACCTCCAGTGGAATTCTAATGGAACTGCAACCAAGATGATACACAATGGGGCTAATAGGAAGTGCCAAGGCTTTCCGTAGACGGGCTTTGATGTTGTTAACATTAACAATTTGAGAGAACTGCAATTGCAGATTTCGAACAGAGATGGCGACAAAGAGGAAAAACTACAGACTGCAGCTTTAAATTGACAGGATATACTTTACATATTATATATTCATAAATATATAATACTGCAAAAAAGGGAGGCTCTGAGTTCTGTGATCCAAGCCATCTTTGTGGTGAGTGACCTCATACAAATTACAATGTATAAGTTGTCTGTCAACAGAGAAAAAATACAGAATAAGGAAACTGAAAGCACAAGTATAAATCACAAATGTTATTGTTCTAATTAATATGGCCAGATGATTCTTTCTGTTGCCCATTACAACCAGCTCAAGTGCTTAACATGAATGAAAAGTAAGTGTTGATAAACATGATGGTTCATACTCAGTCTAGGCAGGGTTAAAAATAATCTGGAGATAATTAGAAGCAATAATGCTGCAAAATTGTGAATTCTCATAGTAGAACTGAACTGTATCATCATAACTGATTGGATTAATACAGAGACCAAATATTACATCTGCTGCCATATGCTAAAATTGTTTGATTTAATACTGTGAGATAGGGCTGGGTGGTATGACAGTATATATCGTGACCACGGTATAAAGTGTCTGTCTATATCGAGATTATATAGAGATTTCACTATATCGTTCATTTTGCAGTATGTAAATATATCCGCATAGCACAGTACTACTTAAAGTTATATATGCATAAGAGTGTTAAAGAAACATGCATGAATGAGAAAATATAGAGTGGGACTTGCTTGATGTTGAGCGCAATAAGATTTGAAAAAGAACTCAATGCGGTTGGTGCTCACGCTGACTGACACAGCTGAAGCACGCACACAGAAAGCCGCCTCTCTTAGACCGCATGAATTCACGAATCACGAAATCACGAATTCGGAACGTTTATGCTGTTTGATAAAGTTCTTAAGCGCAATTAGCTGTGAAAAAGAACTCTGTGCAGTTGGTGCTTGCGCTGGCTGACTGTTATGTGTCAGCAGACACAAGGGCATCCATATGCAGCTTTCATTAGAGTAGTCAGAAAGGCAGGGATCAACATCAGCAAACAGGGCAATGGAGAAAAGGCAGAGACAAACCAGATAACAAGCAATGGTGGTGAGAAGCAAGGTCCAGTAACAATCCAAGTCGAGGTAGGCAGAGAACAATCAGAACGGGGTACACAGTCCAAGGCAACAAACAATCCACAGTGATAAACGCTCAGAATGACAGTCAAGAGTTCGCAGAGAAGTGGTGTGTGGAAGTGGCTTTTATGTGTGTGTAAATGAAGTGCAGGTGTGTGTGTAATCAGTGCAGTGCAGGTGTATGGTGTAATCAGTCCAGGGAGGTGTATGATGGGAAATGTGGTCCAAGTTAACTCAGGAAGTGCGTGGCTAATCGTGACAGAGCCCCCCCCCCCCTTAAGAGCGGCTTCCAGACGCTCAAAAACAAGAGTTCAGGAGGGTGGTGAAGCGAAGGTGGTCTTGGGGGAGGGATGGAGGGCCAGGTCCATGCAGGGGAACGGGACCAGGGTATGCAATGGTCCCATCGTGGAGCGTGGGCGGACCTGGGTCGTGGAGCGTGGGCGGAGCAGGCTGTGCAGGTGACCAGGGCGGAGCAGGCTGTGCAGGTGACCAGGGCGGAGCAGGCTGTGCAGGCGACCAGGGCGGAGCAGGCTGTGCAGGCGACCAGGGCGGAGACGACCATTCAGGCGGCCAGGGAGGAGACGATGTGAAGACCTCTCGGGCGGCCACGGCGGTGAAGACCATGGCGGCTCAGGAACAGGAACCGGCTCAGGAACAGGAACCGCCTCAGGAAATGGCTCGGGAATAGGAACAGACAAAGACACAGGCTCAGGAACAGGAACGGACACAGGCTCGGGAACAGGAACGGACACCGGCTCAGGAAGAGACACCGGAATGGCCATCTTGTCCGGAGACACCGGCTCGGCCATCTTGTCCGGAGACACCGGCTCGGCCATCTTGTCCGGAGACACTGGATCGGCCATCTTGTCCGGAGACACTGGATCGGCCCTCTTGTCCGGAGACACTGGATCGGCCCTCTTGTCCGGAGACACTGGCTCGGCCCTCTTGTCCGGAGACACTGGCTCGGCCCTCTTGTCCGGAGACACTGGCTCGGCCCTCTTGTCCGGAGACACTGGCTCGGAAGATGTGACGTGAACAGACACTGGATCGGCAGAGGTGACGTGAACAGACACTGGGTCGGCAGAGGTGACGTGAACAGACACTGGGTCGGCAGAGGTGACGTGAACAGACACTGGGTCGGCAGAGGTGACGTCAACAGACACTGGGTCGGCAGAGGTGACGTCAACAGACACTGGGTCGGCAGAGGTGACGTCAACAGACACTGGGTCGGCAGAGGTGACGTCAACAGACACTGGGTCGGCAGAGGTGACGTCAACAGACACTGGGTCGGCAGAGGTGACGTGAACAGACACTGGGTCGGCAGAGGTGACGTGAACAGACACTGGGTCGGCAGAGGTGACGTGAACAGACACTGGGTCGGCAGAGGTGACGTGAACAGACACTGGGTCGGCAGAGGTGACGTGAACAGACACTGGGTCGGCAGAGGTGACGTGAACAGACACTGGCTGGGCAGACGTGACGTGAACAGTCTCTGGCTGGGCAGACGTGACGTGAACAGTCTCTGGCTGGGTAGACGTGACGTGAACAGTCTCTGGCTGGGCAGACGTGACGTGAACAGTCTGTGGTGCAGGTTCTGGGCTGGACGGGACCAGCGGTGAAGGCTCTGGACTGGACGGGACCAGCGGTGAAGGCTCTGGACTGGACCAGCGGTGAAGGCTCTGGACTGGACCACCGGTGAAGGCTCTGGACTGGACGGGACCTGCGGTGAAGGCTCTGGACTGGACGGGACCAGCGGTGAAGGCTCTGGACTGGACGGGACCAGCGGCGAAGGCTCTGGACTGGACGGGACCAGCGGCGAAGGCTCTGGACTCTCTGCTGAGACGCGACGAGGCTCTGGAAGTTTTGCTGAGACGCAACGAGGCTCTGGATGCTCTGCTGAGACGTGACGAGGCTCTGGCTGGACAGGCTCTGGCTGGACAGGCTCTGGGAGACGGGGCCCTGGAACGACGGTCTTCTTGAACCTCCGCACTGACATCAGCGGGGGTTGTGCTACGGTGGACATCAAGTCAACAAACAATCCACAATGATAAACGCTCAGAATGACAGCCAGGAAAGTCAAGACTTCGCAGAGAAGTGGTGTGTGGAAGTGGCTTTTATGTGTGTGTAAATGAAGTGCAGGTGTGTGTGTAATCAGTGCAGGTGTATGGTGTTTGGTGTAATCAGTCCAGGGAGGTGTATGATGGGAAATGTGGTCCAAGTTAACTCAGGAAGTGCGTGGCTAATCGTGACACTGACATACACAGTATTTCTTAGTACATGTTAAACTTACTGTAGCTGAAAAACATAAAGTTTATTTAACTTGTATCTTTGGTCTATTGTATTTGTCCTACTGTTTGTAATGTCCTTCTTTGTTCTTATTTTTAAAATAAAAATATCTATATCAAGATATGTATCGATATCGTAAAATAAAATTTCTCATACCGTGAAATAAGATTTTGGTCATATCGCCCACCCCTACTGTGAAATAAGAGATGTTCTTCAAGATTCTCTTTGTTAGCTTATCAATGACCTTTCAATCTGTTTCTCCCTTTCACTGTATACAAACAACGTTAATGTATGTTTTATCATTGACTTTGACGTATGTATATTATTACTTACACAGGGTGACCAGGGTCAAGCAGGGCCCCCAGGACCTCCTGGGCCTCCAGGTCCCCCAGGCCCCAGAGGACCCCCAGGGGACACAGGCAAAGATGGTCCTCGGGGAGTTCCAGGGCTCCCGGTAAGTATCTCTAAATTCAGATATTCAAAATGTTAGCAGTTGGAGGTTTAGCATGATAATGCAGTGACCCATATGGCTCTGGAAACAATGGCTTCTGTTGAAGGATCATGCTTACAAACTTAGGGTGTATTCACACCTGCCTTGTTTGGTTCGATTGAATCGAACTCTAGTTCGTTTCCCCCCTTGGTACGGACCTTTTGGGCAGGTGTGAATACAGCAATCGAACTCGGGTGCGGACCAAACAAACGAACTGAGACCCAGCTGAAGAGGTGGTCTCGGTACGGTTCCAAACGAATTCTGGTACGGTTCGTTTACGGTGTGAACATGAACCGACCCAATTGCAAGAAAGCACTGCGCCTTTGAGTTAACAGGCTTCCGTAGTCGGAGTTGCGTTATGGGAAAGTGATCTGTTGTAGCCTACTACATTACATCTGTTGTGCGTCTTTCTGCGCGTCGTGTGTGCATCATTGGAATGGAATGAATGAATGAATGAGTGTGTGCATCAGGACATTCACATACAGAGCGTTCTCTTTAGTCTAATCGCACATAGATGCAAAAAAAACATTTGCAGTTCATATAATGTAACGATAGTTACAATACAAGGATGATGCTGCGTTAATTTACGTTAAGCCTTTTTTGCACTTCCTGATTTCCCTACTTGAGAATCCTTGTCCAATGAATGGACGACCTTAGCACACGTGTGGTTTTGTTTACAAATTTTGGTTCACTTGCAAAAAGAGCAGTGTGAAAGCGAACCGTTCCAAAAAAAAAAAAAAAAAAAAATTATTTGGTCCGGACCAAAGCAAGTGAACTATCGGACTTTCCTGGTGTGAATACACCATTAGTCTCTCTTTTACCAATAGATATCAGTGTTTCCCCTAGAAATTTTTCCAGCAGCGGTGCTGTCACGTGCCGGAGGATGTTACCAAGTCGCGCGCGGGGGGGAGGTCCGGGGGCATGTACCTCCGGAAGAATTTTTTTTTTAAATAACCCCTTAAACCATGACTCCTGGCAAGTTTTGTGGATAGAAATGGACATTTTGAGACATACAAATATGACATACCATCAACAGATTCAAGGCATGATTATTGCAGCACGTACCTTGAACTGGTCACAAACAGAAACCTTCATTTTATAATTTTAGACAGGATTTTTCACGTTTTTGTTTTGTGTTAATTTTCAGCTATAAGGTAGATATTGATAGGGGGAAAATGAAATGGCACAACCCAGAAAAAGATTATTTAGAATTTATTGAAAATTTTATCTTAATGGCAAAGGCCACACCCAATCTGTGAGCACTTAATTTTTCTAACATTTTTAAAATCAAAAGTTTTATGTTAACATTATTTAATGCACAATGAATGAAGTGAACAAACATGAACAATCAAGTGTTTGTATTAAATAACATTCACAAACATTAATTCATATTGTAAAAATATATTGTTCACTCAATGTGTTGATGTTAGATAACGCATTAAGTAATGTTAAAGAATGGTGTCTTATTGTAGTGTTACCAAACAATACAGGAGATAAAACGTGTTTTATTTGACTTGACTGTACTTTTATTTAATCCAAAACTGTGTTCATATTTAATTTTAAAAGGCTTTTTAAACCTGCTAAGAGTTATCCAGCCAAGAATAAGCCTAGAACTGCTTTTCTGACGGACTAATAATGACATAAACAGTACTCGGGTGTCGGTCTGATACTGTGCTCATGTACTCCTACTCGTAAAACTACCCCAATACAACCGCACCCGAGTCCACTTTAGGGGTCGTTCACATATCGCGTTTTTTGCCCGCAAATTCGTTATTTCAATTGTACGCGCGCGTGGCGAGATGAAAACATCGCAACATCTCATCTCAACAGGCCATGTGACAAAAACCAACCGATCAGCTTCGGCCTTTCCGTAACAACATCGAAAGCTCGGCCGAACAGCTGATCATAGCTGTACAGTGCGGCTTTTTATTTCTCATCTCCATAAATATATCTAGTAGTAAAGCTAATGCAAGGGCTAGAAATCAATTAATTCTTTGCTGATACTTCCTCGTCCTCATGGAGAGCGCCGCTTTCTCCTTTCCAAAAGCGCTTGCTCTCCCGTGGCGTCTGTCGTTGCTATGCAACCATGAACAGAGGTGGCCTGGAAAAACGAGCGCGCTTCCCGTGCGCCTACATTTGAAATAACGAATTTGCACGCGCAGAAAAATGCGCTATGTGAATGGCCCCTTATGGCAACGTGACATTAGCCTAATCGAAAATATTTCCATATGTGGCTCTTTCCTTCTTTCTTGTCAACAAGTGGATTCAGAGCCACCGCATTAGCAGCGCCGGCGGTCGCCATGTCTCAGGGCCCTATTTTAACGATCTGAAACGCAAGTGTCAAAGCGCAAAGCGCAAGTAACTTTGTGGGCGGATCCCGGCGCTGTTGCTATTTTCCCGGCGGGATAAATGCCTCTTGCGCCTGGCGCAAATCTAAAAGGGGTTGGTCTGAAGTAGCTTCATTATTCATAGGTGTGGTTTGGGCGTAACGTGAAATAAACCAATCAGAGCATCATCTCACATTCCCTTTAAGAGCAGGCGCGCTTGTTCTAAAGCGGATTCCTATTATAACGGCGGATTTGCCAGGCGCGCGCCAGGAGCGGTTCACAGCCGAGGAGAGCAACGTTCTTGTCAGGCCCGTAAAACACAGAGAAGTGACATTGGGGATGGAGAAACCCACCCAAATTAACTTCTGTTAAACAGGCGTATGATAATTTGGGTTAATGTGTAAGCTACATGTATGCTTTTATAATAAATTGCCTATCTATCTATCTATCTATCTATCGTAATAATGTATGATTTGCAAAAATGAAAACTGCTGGTTACATGAGAGAATCAACGTGTATGCGCGTTTTGCACACGCTACATTGATTATGGCCAAGCATGCGCCCTTAAAATAGCATAATGAACAACGCGCAACGCGCCACTGACTTTAGACTAGTTTTTTTCTGGTCAGTGGCGCAATTGTTTTATAGAACAGCAAAATAGCATGAGGGAAAGTTTGCGCCGGAACACGCCTCCTCTTTGCGCTGAACCGCCCCGGGGAGCGCAAGTGTATTTCTTAGTTAACCGACGTGCGTCTGTGGAGGGAAAAGTCCGCTTTGCGCGGGTGCAAAATAGGAATGATACATGCGTCAGTGTACAAAGTCATTTGCGCCGAGTGCAAGATAGGGCCCTCAGTGTTTTTAGGTGTGTAAGTGAATGTTGTGATATTACTGATCATGTGAAGATTTTGCAGCGGCACTGAAAATCCAGTGCCGGCGCTGCGCCGCTGCTAAATACATTGTAGGGGAAACACTGGATATCCATCTTACGTAATGTGAATATATGTACATATATTTTGACTGAGAGAGTAAAAAAAAAAAAAACTATTATCCACCAACAGGACCTTCAATTGTTTGTTTGGACCAAGGCAAGGGTGTAAAAATATTAGGTGCAGCTCCCATTTAAGGTAATTTCAATGCTGCGTCATTGTGTTGATGCTATGGGAAAGTCGAGTAAGCACGGGTATAATTCAATACCACATGTTGTGGGGAAAGTCGCGGGCTATCTCTCTCCCTCCTCGGCGTCATCATTAAAAAAGACTGCCTTGCCTTCAAGGCCATGTTGTATCACATCTGCTTTGGTTGGCAAGGCTTATGAAGCAGTGGGTCATGCCTACCAGGCTGGCCTGCTGAAGGGTCTGGATTTTTACTGGATGCCCCTGTCTGGCCTATTCGGCGACATGGTCAATACCAAAGTTGATAGGTTTCAGGCAGCCAAAAAGCAATCTGAGGCACTTCAGCAGCCTACGGCCTCAACCTCTTGTCCTGGGCAGAACTCTTGGAGGGTGGAACAGAAGGCCAGTGTGGAAGCTTTTGTCCCCCTCGCAAGGGCCAAGGGCCGAGGGCCTAGGCGCCACACAGAATCCCAGCCTTTTGGGTCTAAAAGCAGATCTCAGCACAGTCATTGCTGCCTGGGCATCTCCACTCGTCTCCACTCCCCACTCAACAAGACAAGATTACCAAACTGATTCTCCTTTCAGAGAGTTTGACCATTTCTGCTGAACGTCTCTCCTTGGGTTCTGCGAAAATAGAAAAAGGCTACAGAATTCAGATAAAGTCTCGTCCTCCTCTTTTCAATGGCTTGCTCAAGCCCACAGTGAAACAAGATCAGATTCTGTTGTTAACACAGGAGTTACAGACTCTTTTGGACAAAGGGATCATAGAACATATTCCCCTCCCAATGAGAGTCTCAGGTTTTTACAGCATTTATTTTCTGGTTCTTAACCCTCTGGGGACCAAGGTGTTTTTGGGGTCCTTGAGATGTTTTGACATGCCCTGACATTTGTGCTTTTTTCAGTTGCTTATAAACATATTAATGGCACAGGTGAAATTACACTCTATTTAGCACAAACAGGGCTACCATAATATGTGAGCAACATGTATGTACATGTTTGTATTTTTGAGAGAATATTGTTTATGCATGTTTATTGATAAAACTAAAAATTAAAGTTTCTGAAATAAGGCCACAAAACACATACTAAATATGTGTCCACAAGACTTTTGACTAATGGATGTTGTGGCCTAGAGTATTTGCTTCAAAATGATCTGAAAATCATCCTGCCTAACCATTCACATAAAACCATAGATTGCTTTAAATTGTGAAAAACATTTTTTTGTTTGAAAGGCAATATGCGAATGGGCGTGAACGGCCCAACCCCCTCATGTATAATTAGGTGATTCTCACCTGAGAAGACAAAGATGCATTCATTTCATTCAGGTGTGTCACAAGAAAGAATGCAAGGAAAATATATATACATATATACACACACACAGACATATATATATATATATATATATATATATATAAATAATCAAAATATAAATGAAAGTCAAAAGCACATTTTTAGTCATACCTGGAAACAAATCCTGTTCAAATAGGTTAAATGGGCCATTCAATAGAATTGGTTCAAAGTTAGAGTT